GTTTTGGGTGCCACACTTCAAGAGGGACGTGGATAACCTGGAGAGGGTCCAGAAAAGGGCCACTCATATGGTTAAGGGCTTGCAGGCCAAGCCCTATGAGGAGAGACTAGGGCACCTGGATCTCTTCAGCCTCCACAAGAGAAGGTTGAGAGGCGACCTTGTGGCTGCCTATAAATTCATCATGGGGGCGCAGAAGGGAATTGGTGAAGCTCTGCTCACCAAGGTGTCACAGGAAATAATGGCCATAAGCTAGCAGAGAGCAGGTTTAGACTAGACATTAGGAGGAACTTCTTCACAGTTAAAGTGGCCAAAATCTGGAATGGGCTCCCAAGGGAGGTGGTGCTCTCCCCTACCCTGGGGGTCTTCAAGAGGAGGTTAGACAGGCTTCTGGCTGGGGTCATCTGAACCCAGCACTCTTTCCTGCCTATGCAGGGGGTCAGACTTTATGATCTACTGAGGTCCCTTCCGACCCTAACATCTATGAATCTATGAGAAACCCACAATTCTTAAAGCACTGGGGAAAGAAAACATCCACAGCTGCTGCAGAATGAGATAAATCACAAGTAAACAGAGTAAAATGCTCCACTGCCTACATGCTGCATCTAGATGTATAAAACCTTGGCAGAACTGCAGGTTTCTTTACCTTAAAACAGATTCAACAAAAACTCTTAATGCTTTCACATGAATCCATGCAATAAAGGCTTCACTGAAATTCACTTTCAGCCACCGAACTAGAGGCCCCTGCAGAGGGAAGGATTGAGAAAAAGGCAGTTATTCATCATAAGCCTTCAAAAAGAGATTCAGCTTTATTAAATTTAAGAAGATATTGTTCTATAATTTGCATTAGGTGTTTAAACAACTTGCCAGTGAACTGAAAAAAAGTCAAACAAGTTCCTCACGATCATCTGATCAGTTCCAATTTCAAGACAACAATGACTATTTGCACTGATATAAGTTTTCCAGAGCAACTTTTCAGCAGTGGTAAATCCAGATAACCTCACATTTTGTATGCAAAGCAGCTACATTCACCATGACTCCACATGACCAAGAATACAAAGCATCTAAAAAGAAATTCAGGCTTATTGCATTGTCAGTCTACAGAAAGTCACTTAACACTGAAAATTATAGCAGCAATCCTCAGTCACCCCTCATCTACTTCATTTTGCTCCCCTTGAATGAAGCAGCCCTAAACTAAACCAATTGCGCCTTTAAAGGTGATTCTCTTTGCATGGGAGATTCCTGGGTAGACGGAGATCAGCCAGAGTAGCTTCTGTTGTTTTCCTTCTAGCTGTTGGTGTAGCTGAGACGGTAACATAATTGTGGTACTTCAATAACCTCTAGCTACTAGGATGGTTCCCTTGGTTTGCTGGAAGTGGCCACCAGTTCAGACTGGCCCACCACAGAGGAGCTTCAAAAACACACACCAGGGGGGCACAGCACCCATCTTAACATCTCTTCCACCCTCCTGTCTCAAATACAGCTAAGGATCAGGCCCAGTAAGCAGCATAACTAGGCAAAGGAGAATGGAGCAGCAGCTTCAGATGCCAAATTAGAGGGGGCACCATCAGCATCCCATACACTTATCACCCCAACCCCGCCCCACTCTCTGGCACTTGTGACAAAAAAAAGTTACAGCAACTAACTTTACTTAACAGCCCTAATTCACTATACTTGTTGGATGAGTAGTGAAACAGCTATTAGAGTCCTTTTGGTCTGACACATCATTTTGCTTATTTTATTCAACTTCAACGCATTTAATAGTCTACAGGTAATTAAAGTAGATCCTTGCTTTCAACAACTGTTATTGACTATGTTGAATATCAAAAATTAGGCTACTGTTAACTCTGTGAACCCTCCTGTTTTACTTCTTTGTCTGAAGAGGAACCCAGTAGTGACCTATCTGGCTAAGTACAGCCATTTGGGGGCTATAGGGGGAGGTTAAATCTATTCAAAATGGCTGCCCAAAAGCAGTTAAATCAGGACGGGGTGCTAGCCAGGGAGCTGGGGTGTGGGGGCAATGTCCAGCAAGCTGGAGGGAATCAGGTGTCCACCAGGAAAGCATGACCTGTAGGCAGGGTGGGGTCCCCCACAGTGAACCTACAGCCCCATCTCTCCTGCCCTTCCCCCCACCAGGGGTTACCTGCTCAGCTCTGCCAGCAGTGGATGCTGATAGAAGTGGCTGCAGCCAGAGCAGCTTGTGGCATGGGGGTTAAGAGGGTTGGCTGGTCAGGGGCCAGGAGGACAAGAGGTGGACAAAAAAAAATAGACCAGTGCAGGGGGAGGGGGGAGTGAAAAGAGCAGCCCTGGGGCTAGGGCCAGTGGACAGAAGTTCCGTGCACTGGTTTGACTTAAATGGATTAAGTCTGATACTACATAGATCCAGGTTTATCTGAAACCAGGTTCTGCAATTTTTAGACTGGTTTGGGTGCATGGAATTTTTGTACACAGTTACAGGTTTAGACCGACTGCTGGTCACTGAGACCAGGTCTGTGAGAATAAGGTTAGCATTGGGTTAGCCAAGTTTAAATCAGGAGGCCATTTTGAACCCAATTTAACCTCCCCAAATGTCTGTACTTACCCTTGGTCCTTAAATGCTCAGTTCTAGCCATTCCAAAGGAAAATATTTAGTGTATGTAAACTTACAAACTGTTTTTTCTTGTCAGTAGACAGCCTGTTCATTTCTTCTTTGTCTGCTTTCATCTCTTCTTCATTATACTGGAAATCACGGACCATAAACCTACATTTGAAGAGTAAAAATTTCCAGCAGCTGTCTAGATGGCTTTTAAAATACAAAAGCAAGCTAGAGAAAAAAACCCAAATAAACTCTTACTTGCTTTCCCTTGCTTTGTGTTTAAATTCATCCATTGCCTTCTTGAACAAAGTGACATTGCAGAGGTAGCTATCTTGGTCCTCAAACAAAACACTGGATAAAGAGAGGGGTGGGGTGGGAAAGAAGTGTTACGCAGTCACAGGTTTGAACCATTATCTCTCTGAAGTACTGTAGTCAAAATTTTCATCTGTGGTTACTTAACTAACAAGATCAAGTTCACTGTCTATTAATAGGTGCAATAATGTTGTTCTGTAGCCAGAGCTTTTAGCATACCAATTTTAGAAGCACTTTCATTATCTTTTATCAATAAATTATCTGTTTGCAGTTCACATATTCAACAAATGCTTTCTTGAGTAAACCTAATATTCTGCAATTTAAAACTGTATGTGTTCTCGGATAGTAAACCAGTGTTAATTTAACTTTAATGTGCGAAACGAATGTGGCTTTTAGCATCCTCATTTATATTGCTGGTGAAAGGAAATAAGTTCTGAAGCACAGGAGTTGCAGAGAGATCAGTGGACTAGGAATAGTCTTATCTGTGCCAGCGAAGAGCACGTTAAAGCAGTGGTCTTCAAACTTCCGGAAGTCACGAAACCCTTCGACATCACTTCTTCTGCCATGGAATCTCTAGCTGTATCCTAAAAATTGAAGCAGTGGCAGCACACTGCCTCCTAGCCTGCTCCATCATTACCCACAATCTTTGTGGACCCCCTGATGGTACTGCAGAACCCCAGGGTTCAGTGGAACACAGTTTGAATACCACTGCTCTAAAAGGAGCTCAGTGAACATCCCAATACAATACGACTTTAGGAGTTAACCGTCTAGCAGCATAAGCATTAAAATGTCTCTAAGCAAGCACCAGTGATTTAGGCTTTTTGCACCTGCCATGTAATCTGTCAGGCAAGTGGCTGATTTATGCCACCCTTCCAACTCAAAGCTATGCTTCTAGAATGTGCAAGAATATATGCAGATGTTAGATTAAACAAGTCATAAAAAAAGCTACTTACTTGCTGGATCTTGGGACTATCATGTCTGTTAGTGTTTCATATTGCTTAACCCAGTCACTGTAATTTAACCTACACAAAACAAGTTAGAACTCAATTTTACTGCTGCTACATAATTCAAGGTAGAAATTGACTGGATCACACACACAGAATCAACAAAGAGCATTCACAACTCTGTCTTCCAACAGGAAGGTAGAAGAAATCAAAAGTACATATAGCATAAGGGTATGTAACACCCTCATCCTATTGTTGAGGTAAGAGATTGTGAACGAAATAGAACTAAATTGGTGAAATTAAGGGGAAATAGCTAATCTTCAAATACACGATTTGAGATTTTTCTTGAAAGACAAACATTATCTCTCTCTTTCAATTAAGAGCTATACAGTCAGGTTAATAATTTAAACACCTTTGAGTTATCCGATTGATTGAGGCTTGCTAAATCACAGTATAAGACTATACTTCTCTGTAAGAGTGGAGTAAGTGAAAAAAAATTAAAAATAAGCTTTTGAAGCAGGTTTACACAACTCATAAATGAAAAGGATGGGACTTGTGGAGTTGTTGCTCTTTTTAGAGAGCAGTGAGAGTCCATCCCTAAAAGCAACAAGAATCCATCCCTAAAAAGCAACAAAGCCAAAGTCCAAACAACTCAAATGAAGAAATTTAAATCCAGAACTCCTAAATCCCTTGTTACGGCTAATAGATTATACTGCCTTTACTGTGGTTTTTACACATTTCTCACTTCATAAGGAACACTATTTACTGCAGGAAAATTAGCCGCTATTCATTCATATTGTAAATCAGAAGGTCACCAGCTTCTTTTAAGCTCTACAAAAATTACCTTAGTAATAAAAAAGCAATATAACTAAATATCAGAAAGGCAGGGCTGTGGGTCACCTTAGACATTACAGAGCCATATGCATGACTGATGCTTCACACCTTATGGGAAGGAGTGGGGAGCAGAGTAGTTGAGGAAAACTTAAGTGAACAAATTGGATTAATATTAGATTTTGCCAACGGAATTACCCTTGGTACCTCAACAGGGAGTTCTTAAATTAAAACAGTATTTGTTTCCTTGCATTCCTGTACCTTATGATTCAGGTGGCCACCATTTGCAACATATTACAGGGGACCACCACCTGCAGCTATGTAACATGAAATGCCCAATTCAAGTTTTCTCTAGTAGAATTTAGGGCCACACAGTACCCTTTTTGGGAAGCTGAGTAACAGCTTCCAGTATCCCCAAGGAAGGTCATTTTTGTCTCTTATTGAGATTCAAAAGTTGGTACCAGCTCATCTACAAGTTAAACACTAAACACCTTTCCTCTCAGCAGATTTATACATTAAATAAAACAATAAAACAATATTTGGTTGCAGAAAAATGTCTTACTTGGGTACAACCACTAACAATGTGATCAAGTATTCTGAATCAAGTACAAAGTCCTCTTTCTTCACAATGTCAGCTAGACTTCTAGTTAGTAAGCTTCCTCTGTAAGGACACAAAAAGGCAGCCATTGTAAGTGCAGTTTAAATCTTAAACGCAGTCCTGATAAATTTTAGGGCTTGGTTAATGTGTTTCAGAAAAACCCCCTAAAGAACAAGTGGCAATTATGCAGAAAGCACTTATTCCTTTCTGTAACTATAGTTTTAACATGCATGTTGTTTATAAGACATCTTATCAGCATCTTTATTGTCACTATTAGCTGAAGATCCTGCTCAGTCTGTGTTGGGATGAAAGGTACAATTTTCAAAAGCACCTTGGTGAGTAGGGTTCAAAAATGATTTAGGGAAGAGAGGTTAAAAATGGAGGGGGGGCAGGGAGATAGACTGAAAGAGATGCCCACCCCATACTATAGACTCTTGCAAAAGACCTCTAGTGCTATTAAATATTCTGCACACAAGCAACTGTACATTGCAAGCTGAAGTCACTGTCTAATAATGTCTTACAATCGTACAACTTTGTATGGATTCAGGTACCATGGGGTCCTGCCTATTTTTACCACAGTAGTGTGTGGAAATTTCACAATTATTTTATCTCAGGCTAATGTAGCCTACATGACTACTTATGTGACTTAGACCTTCTCTACATATTACAGCTATTGCAAAATTAAACTGAGAACAGCGGCATATGGAAAGAACTTATCACACCATGAAGAGGTCTAACCTGCTATAAAGTCAGACCTTCAAAAGGCATGCTAACTTTATAGCTGGTTGCTATCTAGCTTTGATTTTCATGTGTAATACGGTCTCCCCTGTGGCTAGGAGCCCTATCAGCTGACTGGGCTCCCAGCTGCAGGGATGTACCATGCTCAGCCAGGGCTGGCAGTCCTGTAGCACAGGAGACACTCAGCCCCCACAGTGCCTGTTAGCTGCGGGACTCTGGTTCCTAACAGCTATGAGGTGTGACTGCAGTCTCCCAGACCAGGGGGTACATGGCTTGCCCCCATGGCTGGGAGACCACAGTCACTACAATCTCCCAACTATGAGAAGCAGTGTGCCCGCACAGCTGGGAGGCCCTTCAGCTGAAGGGGCTGCTAGCCACCAGACCTTGTTTCTCGCCAGCGCAGGGGGAACCTGGGACTTGCAACAAGATGTGATGGGATCCAATGTATGATCCCACAATCATGCCTCTTGCCATGCACATGTGCAACTGTGTGGGATTGTGCATTAGATTCATAGATGTTTTTACCTGCATGTGTAGAGGAGACCTTAGATGTGTCTGTGTACAACCATGTACCTACATGTGTAGGGAGGGTCCTATATTGTCTTCTAACTCTACAAAGCCATACAGCAATTATTATTTTAAACATTTTCTTGATTGCCAATGAGACTTTGGAGCCTAATTATCCAAGTAGCTTCTGCCTTTAGTCTTATATGCACATCTATGAACCACAGCTATAGGCCTACATTCCCAAGCACTCTGAAGGAAGGGTTGCATCAGCCTCAAGAGAAAGGGAAGAATGTCACCTTTGCTTAAAGTAAGTATCTCCTTGTTGGCATTAAGAGTTTTATCCCCACCTATCCAAATAGTTGTTTATGCCAGTGATTCCCAAATGGCATGCTGTGATATACCTGGGTGAGGAGGTAAATGCCCCCTCTGCCTGCACCAGCTACTCCAACAGCACCTGCACATACTCCCTTGGAAACTGCTGCTATTATTGCTGCCTTTCTCCACCACCCCTATGCTAGCCCCACACCCAAGCTCCCAGCTCTGTACACTGCTGCAAGCGAGTGGGCAAGTAGACATGCAAGTAGAGCCAAGCTTTGCAGCCTAGTTCATCCGCCTCTACTTCTCCACACTCCTGAGGCTGGCAAGAGAGGCCACGGAGATGGTCACCAATTTGTGAGACTCTGTAGGAGCAGCCTCAGCAGTAGGGCCTGCTCTTCCCCACAAGGTATAGAACTAGGGATCAGGAAGAGGTAGACAGTGGAAAGAGCAGAACACGCTTGGCCCCCACTACCCTTAAGTGGCACCAGCTAGATCACCAATTCTCAATTAAAAAAATTTTTTTTAACCTCAAGGACCTCCCTCAATATCTTTTTCTGAATTCATATCTAAAATCTCAGTGATTTTTAGCTGGGGTACTATGAAGTTCAGAAAAAGTATGAAGGAGCAACTTAAGGCTGAAAAGGTTGAGAACCACTGGTACGGAGACTAAACCTTAGCTAAAAGAAAGATGTACTTGGTGTCTCTCTTTTTTTTTTAATAATACATCTAAGCGCACTGGCAGAGGAATGGAATATATGTTTTGAAAGAAAAATATGAATTATACATATACACATACACCTTGCTGGGTGAAAGAGTGAAGTGTGCCACCATTTTTAAACCAGAAAAGGACAGGTATTAAAAGTTTGGGAAACATTGTTTTATGCCTTGCTTAACTCATTTGATTTGCTTGGGCTGGGGGAAGAAGGATACAACAACTTCTCAAACCTCAAGAACATATCATATTAATTACTTCATCACATAATAAAGCAGAAACTTCCTTGAAAAAAAGAAGTACTTCAGTTTTAAGAAAACAAATATTTTGATCACAGTATCATGCAACTAGTAGCATAACTAAATTAAGGTGGCTTACGCATTCTTTCTTTCCAAGTTCTGAAGGTTGCCTTTCAGATTATTGTACGCTGAAGCTCTTGCTTTCAGGTCATTGTCAATTTGGGTTACTCCCTTTAAAAAACAAGATTCAGAATCAAAAACACAAAAAAATTTCAATATGCCAGAAGTGTTAAAATCAGTGATGAGAAGTCTTGCTTCACCAAGCCATCCCTCTCATGCACATCTTCTAGGATTAAACTAGTCGAAACTGCTATTGATTATTTCCAGCTAGTGTCAGCTATAACCTGGAAGCAACAAGTTCTACCAAAGAAGCAATGACCAGGACCTGAACTAGTGATCATATTTCTATAGTCTTATAATCTATATTTTCACTGTTAAGTTGATTGATTTTAAAAAGGTTTTACTTATACAGGTACCTCAAAAGACTTGGTATATAGTAACACTCAGGCCTTGTAAAACAGCTTAGTCCCTCTCTCTCTACTGCTTCTATCTATAGTACCCAGGAACATAAGCAGTTCAAAGCAACTCATAGCTGAATTATTTGTTGCACAGATAGTGTTTTTATTTGCCCCAGTTTGCCATCAGTCGGTTTTGGTGAACCCAACAGAATACTAATTCTCAACCAGGGTGCTGGGGTACCTTGGGGTGTCATGAAATCTTTCGAAGGGTGGTGTGAGGATAAGAGCAGGCTCAGAGACCTCCCTACCTGGTCACTGTCCTGCCCCCCCTGCCCAGCCCCTTTGCAAAGAGGTTAGCACTGTAATAAATAAGTCAGCCTTGGAAACGGGGTACTGCTCAATTACAAAAGTTATGGAGGGGTGCCAAATCAGATAGGGTTGAAAACCACTGATATAGAAGTCAGCCTTTAAAAAACACCACTGCATAGATGTAAAGAACTAGCAGCACACAGCACACACAAAAATATCACCTGTGATTTTAATGCAATAGATTTCTCATAAGGTATGAAACCAAAACGAAAATCCCAGATGTCTTAGTACAAGATTAATAACTTACTTCTTACCCAAACAGCAATATATCAGCTGCTTGTGTAATACATTATATTATCCATGAAAGAGGCAAGAAGTCACATTTTTTTTTTTTTTTTTAGCCAAAAGGCAAGAAGTCAGAATTTTTAAAATGATAAATAAATATCTGCAATAAGTAATGACCTGAGACACAAGGCTTTAAAATATGAAAATGAAATACCATTTTAACAGACCTAATGCATCTATATTAGTATTCAGAGAAACAAACAAAAATGTGTGTACAGTAGGACCCTGTCTTGGAGAAAAATGTTTAAGCACTAGCAAGCAATGACTTTTGCTAAGGGGAACAGTCATTAGAAGTAAATCACAGAAAGGCCATGGACAAGCATTACATTTGTACTGGGAGAAAAGACTTTTTCCTGGCACAAAATGAGAGCATAGAGCTATTCAAGGGATTTCTTCTCTAGAAATATTCCTGACTGGCAGAAGAAGAGGTGTTCTCCTGCAGTGGGAACCATCCCAGAGCCCAGGACAGACAACTGTCGCTAGGGAGAATGGCCTCTCTCCTACCCCCCCCACACTCTGCCAGTTTGAACAGGAGGAAGGTGGGGGAGGCGGCAGCCACACTGCAGCATGGCTGGGGAAAGGGAGAACCAGGATTCCAGAAGCTGGACTGCAGAGGCAGTGATTTAAAGCTGGGGTATGGGATAGTGGGGTGGGGACAGCTTCCCCAAGCCTAGAGCCATACCTCCGCCAGCTTTTAAAAGTCACAGCTTATGCAGCCCAGTTCAACAGCCCAGCTGGCTGCGTAGGTAGCAATTTAAAACCAAGTGTGGAAGCTCTTGGCTCTGCTTTCCTGTGCCCCCCACTGTAAACTACTTATTGACAGTTTGTTCCCTTCCAAGCTGGGAAAGAGCAGGCTGTTAAATCAGTAAGCAACCCTAAGGACTCTGGTGATCTAAGCAGCAGCCTTTTAGTGTCCCCTGGCTGGAGAGCTCACCTATGAAGCTCTCCAGCCAGGAAAGTTGGATGCTTCAACCTCCAGCCTATTTTTCTAGCAGTAGAAATTCCACAGACATGCTCACCAATAGAAGTGAACACCTGTCCATGGGCAGAAATTTAGCAGACCTAGGAAAAATGCAAATGTGCTAGAGTTTTCTAATAAATATAAATCCTTTCCTTTACTCCACACACTCCTTGTGCTTTAACAATAATAAAAAACCCCACCCACAAAGAACAACAAAGAATATATGGCTAAGCATGCATCATTTAAGAAAAAAGTCTGAAAGAAAGGAAAACTCTAACAGATACCAAACCTGCCTTTTGTTAGTTAAGCCAGTTTAATGAAATGTTAGAATTCTAACACTTCATTACAACAAAGTAAACTCTGACCGATTTGCCACTCCAAGAGGAATGCAAATAATGGAAAATTATCCACTACTGATGATGTATCTACATGTGCAATTTACTGTGTAGATGACTAATTAGCTCTGCAGTAAAGTGTCACCATCTACACATGTGCCCATATTAGGGTGCAGTAAATTAACTAGCTTCGCTGTAGGATAATACAGTCCAGGACAAGTATTATCCTACAGTGGAGTAGTTACGTGAACTGAAATGCATGTGTAGACAGTGACTGAGACTGGCTAGGGCATGAGGGTGCTACAGTGCAAGGGATTCCTGCCAGCTAGCCCTGCACTGCAGCACCATCCTGCCCCAGCAGGCCACTCCACAGCATATTGAGCTGGGGTGTAGCAGCCCTGGGCTGTGAGGCTGACTCCCCAGGCTCTCTGCCAGCTGTGGCTGCTCCACCCCAGTTCAATGTGACACGGTCCCAGGTACATGTATAAATGCTGTGCCTGGGAGCAATAAACTATGGTATGAACTGCACCAGAGTTTATTACTACATACTAATTGCACATGTAGATGCATTAGGAGTTGATAACTGGGGACAGAATGATAGCAGAGAATCAGAACAGGAGCAATTTAAACAATAGTGATGAATTTTCCCCACAGGCAAGTTAACCAACATTTACTGTGTAATCATCTCTCTGTGGGTGCTTTGCATGTCCGAAGACTCCAAACAATACTGCATTTAGGGTTTTGTCAATTGCTAACTAGAATTTACAGAAGTGACTATCAATTTTGATTCTAGTTAAAAGTACTATAAAAATATTAACGAAATTGCAAACACTGGCCTTTCAAGCTACAGTTTTTAAATAAAAAAGGCATGCATAAATAAGTCTCAAGTTAAGTCCTAACACTGGTGTGAAAATCTTATTTTAATGGATAGGTAACTTCCAGATAACAAAACAGAGTCATGAGATAATGGTCATCCACTTTTACATAAAGGTAGAGGAAGACTCCCAATATTTCTGGAAGATACTGATCTTGTAATAGTTGTATTAATATGGCTCTATTTCCAAAGAGCACAGAAATAATGCTGTTAGTATAAGAGAATGCAAGTCGCATCTGACAACCTGCTTGGGACCTACTGCATCTTAAATGGATCAAACACTAGACTTTTAGGTTGCCATGGCTACAATTAGTTTGACAGACGTATCAACAGTGGCAATCTTATTTTATGCCGCGTGCTTATTTTATGCCAAATATAGAGTGTACAGATTGAAATGGCTGCTACCACCTTGCAGCTGGCATGTTAGTAAAGCTGTGACTCAGTGGGAACTAAGCTCAAAATCTCTTCAGTATTTACACCTGATTTGTACTGCAACTTCTGGAAGTCAGAAAGCGGCAGCCAGTAGTTCACTGACTTATCACTCCCCTGAGTTCCATGAGCCCAGTCGCATGTCCAGCACCCCACTTATTTATTCTACAAACTCTCCACAACAATTGGGCTTAGTCCTTCCAAGGCACCTGTATTGTTTTTTTGTGAAATATTAGAATCAAATTCAGCACTTGGATGCCATGGTGACAAAGATAAAATATCGAAGTACACGAGAGAATTTTCCTTCTTATTTGGCAAACCTTATAAATCATCTGACGTCTAACAAGAAAAGGACTAAAAGCTATGAACTCTCTTAATTTCTTGAATATCAAGTCAGTCACACCTGAGCAGCGAGACATGTTAACTAGGTTCAGGGTCTTATCCACCCTATACTGTTCTCTGGTGGACTACTTCATCAGTCTACATTTCTGACTCAATGGGGTTTTTCTGTTCCCTGTCTGTGGGCTAGCTCCAGCTTTTGCCTCAAGCCTGATACCCAACCCCATGAAGAAGAGCAGGGCTTGCACCAGTTGAACTAAATCTCTATTGTGGGGAAAGCTTTACAGCTGTACAAGATGCTTATATGCTTAACTACTAAATCCTCAATATTCTGTTAATGTTAAAAAAATAAAAGTTCTCAGAGGAACATAAACCTTGAAGCTTGAGGTTCTTAAATTAATCTAATGAGGGAGTAGTACGAGACCCTCTTATAGGAAAGATTATCTCCCTACCTCCCCATTTGCTTACTGGGGGGTTTCTGACACTTTCCTCAAAAATACATAGTGCTGGCACTGAAAGATGGGATAATGACTAAATGAACTGGGCGTCTAGCCCAGATCACAGAGGAGTTGCCATAAGAGACAAGCTGCAGGCAGAGCCAAGCAGGACAAGAGACAGCACCGGTTGTAGCAAAACGGTAAACTGTAAAACAACTTGTGTCAGATTATGCAGCTACAGAATCATGGAATCCATAACGGAGATAAACCTCGCTGATCAGCCTCAACATTAGTGGCTCAGGCTCTGTACAGGCACAAACAGTACTCAACCTACTATTCTCTCCTGAGATTCTCCCTATAGCACCCTGGAAACAAGACACTGGCTTTGGGGGTTTAAAGGAATGGTCAAGGTTCTGAAGCACTCTCATGCCAAGTAGGTGAGCTTCTGGCCAACTACAAGACTGCAATATTGGAAAATACACAGGGGACTATGTCAAACCTACACGAAACATGATCAACTCACAAACAAGTCAGTTAACTTTAGTGTTTTGATATTTTTGTTGCATTAAATGCTGTCTGCATGTGTGCAGCCGCAGTATGCACGCAGTCAAGAATCCAGCCTGGCAGCTTGAAGAGCAGTGTGCGACTGGTAAGACCGTGGGGCTTGGGGGTAGGAAAGGGGCACTGGGGGAGGGCAGATCGAGGTCCCCACTGCGAGGGAGGGAGTGGGGCAGGGGTAGGCACTGCCTAGTCAGGGTGGTGACTGTGAGCCTGATGCTGCCAGGAGTGGGACAGAGCTACAGGGAGAGGGACAGGAATGGGCCAGGGGAAGGCACTGCCCAGCCAGGACAGTGAAGGCAACCCCAGGGCTGCTGCGAGTGGGATGGAGCTGCAGGCAGCTCATGTGGGGGTATGTGCCCACCCCCCCCACCAGATTTGTGCATAGGGTGAGGGCAGGCTGCATCAGCCTCTTCCTGGTGCAGGGCTGGGACAGGCTCAGCTGTGTGGGGTGGGTGGCAGGAGCAGTGGCACTGGGAGTGGTGGCTACGGGGAATTTTGGAGTGGCCATAGCCCCCCAAGCAGGGGCAGCACCAGGGAAGGCTATGGCCTCCCCAAAATTCCCCATAGTCCCCCACCCCCATAGCCACCCCTCCCAGCACCGCTGCTGCCTGCCCCACACAGCTGAGTCCACCCTACCACACACCTGCCTGCTCTGAGCACAGCCATGGCCCAGCCCCCCTGCCAGGAAGAGGCTGGTGCAGCCCCTGGCCCCGAGCCTGCAGCAGCAGCCTGCCCTCACCCCATGCACAAATCCGGGGAGGGCCACATGCACCCCATGCCTCCCCCCAGGGTGTGTGCAGCAGCAGAGAGCCACTCCACTCTTCAACCCCCCACGCTCCCTGGATGAACTGCTCGCAGCTGTTTCACTCCTGGCAGCCCCAGAGTTGCATGCACTGGTCTGGCTGGGCAGTGTTGCCCCTGCCCTGCTCCCTCCCTCACCATTGGGGCCTTGATATGCCCCCCACAGACATACAGACAGGATGCTGCTCTGCAAGCTGCTGGGCTACATTCCTGTAAATTGGCTGGTTAAAAATTAGCTATCAGTATCCACCAAGAAAATCTTTAATCTGGGCACCCTATCCAAAATCATTCTTTGAAATACATGAAGTCTCCCCAAAGAAGTTTAGGTTACTTAGGTTATGAACATGCAAGAACTGATTTTAAACCAATTAGCTAATTTAAGAAATGGAAGTTATCACGTCATGAATTTACAGAACACTGAAGAATTTACATTCTTATTACACATTAAACTCCAATTATATTCCAGGTCAGAATATATATCATCTACTGGTGTAATATACATTTGGTAAGAAATTCAAACCAGTAGTTGGTATGATGTGACATGCCAGGAATGGCCCACAATTCTCTAACCCAGGGGTTTTCAACCTCTTTTCTTTGTGTACTCCTGGCAGTCAGACATGGAGCAGGGGAGGGGGGCGTGGGGGCAGCACAGGGAGGTGGGTGGCAGCAGTGACCACCATGTGCAAGCATGTGCAAATCCGGCTGACTGGGTGATGCTTGTGTGGCTGGCAGGAGGGCACTGCTCCCTTCACCCCACTCCGGCCCTGCTCCTGGGAGGCAGCAGCGCTCCATCCCTGCCCACCCGCACTCCCTAGGGCCTTCCAAAATACCCCTAGGGATATGTGTACCCCTGTTTAACAACCCTGTTCTAACCAGTCTGGCTGCAAACCAAAATCTTGAGGCAGCCAGGAATCACAGGACACAACTTGAGATGAACATATCCCAAAGCCAAGGAGCTGCATGCAACATGTCAAGTCAAATAATATATTTGTTGTTAAATGACTTCTTGTTTATTATTTTGTTCTCAGAACTGAAGAAAATCAGAAACAGAAAATGGACAGAAGAAAAGAAAGCTTTATTTAACCATTTCTATTCCTTCAGGAGCATCTTTATACTTTCTGAAAGCTATACATTGTTTGGCCAGCCACGTAATCAGGGGTGGATCCAGAAGGGGTGCAGTAGCATCCCTTTTCTGATCATACAGCAGGAGCAGCAACCAGGGACTTAGGACCCTGAAGAAGTAGTAAGAATTTCACCCTGCCTTCCCCTCCATGCTCAGAGGCATATCTCCTCCCCTCTCAGGTCCTCCCTTCCCTGCCTGCTCCTGTCCGGCCTCAGCTGGGCTCAGCCTGAGACAACAGCAGTAGCAGCAGTGGTGAAGGGCAAGTTCACCCTCCCTGCCTGATGCCTCAGGTGTTTTTAGCCAATTTTTAAAGGAGGCATATTGGCCAATACAAATCCAATTTACAATACACAGCCTGGCAGCTTGAAGAGCTGCTGTTGTGGAAGGGGAGGATGAAGGAAAGAGGTGTGAAGGGGTGAAGATCAAGGCCCCTGGGAGGGAGTGAGGCTGGAGCTGGGGCAAGGCCTGGGGCAGGCACTGTCCAGCCAGGGCAGGATGCAGGATGGAACTGCGCAGGGCAGGCTGCCACTGTGGGCTGAGGCTGGCTGCACTTGGGATTGGTGGCGGCAGCTCTGGAAGGAGGGTTACAGGAGGGGGGACTGCAGCTACCCCAAGATTTGCAGTAGCCCCCATGTAGTCCTATCCCAATGCTGCTGCTGCCCACCCCAAGCACAGCCCCAGCCCAGCCCCTCCCCACCACCCC